CTATTATTTTTGGAACTGGTAAGTGCAAACGAATTTGCTTTGCAACATTGAAGAATTTAATGAAACAATAGAGGATTAGATAAATTTCAAATAATGTTAACACGCATTAAAGGGCGTTTAGTTTAAAGATTTTAGGAGGGTCGTTCCCACTCCCGTAATCCGAATAAAGGATTTAAGGGGAAAACAAAGATCTTTTCCATCGTGTGTTTTGGACTCTGTACACGCAAGTCAGGAAACTGAATAAAACCATTGCAAAATACTCACCGAGAGGCTGCTGGAGTAACGCGATAGGCGTTGTTGACTAGCGATTATAACGTGCCGTGCGAAATTTAATGCGTATGCAAATTATTCCGTGGTGTTGTTGAACACCTTTCGAATCGATTTTGCATTTGCATACATTCCAGCAAAAGAGTAACGGGGTATATTTTCGTATAATCTTGGAAATGGACTTAATTAACGGGGGAACATTGTAATTCCATTTCAATTAAATAATATGCTTCGACGGTGTGTGTACAGGGTGGGACAAAAGTATTCATCATTCTCAACATACAAACATTACGAAAGTATCAATCTTTCAATTAGAAACTTCATTTATGCATATGTATACATACTGGTATGAAAAAATTCAGAATCAAACGGGAAGTCTCCCTGATAATTAAATTCAGTATCAATTGTGTTAATGCTTTATTAATAATTGATTATTACATAATTATTATCAAATTTCATCGTGAAATTCACAGTGTGGTTTCACAATTGAATTCTTCGGTTTACGCTACCTGAACACTGAGTAGATCATTTGAAAAGAAAAATAATGAAAAATAGCTTGCCTATGAATGGAAACAATGGGGTATTTACGAGCGGGTTGGAGGAGGAGGAGGCGGAAACGCGACCGGAGAAACGCAATAAAGTATTGAACAGTACACCCCGCATGAGTCCGTAGTAATGCGATAGGCGTTGTTGATTCGCGATTACAACGCGTTGCGCCGCACTGCAATGAGGTTTACGATTGCTCCGTGGCATATAAAACGATCGCGTCCGATTCGAGGAAGTTGTGTTGTGCACCGAGGCGTCCTTGATTCGCCACAGCGAAAAATCTCTTCTTCTTTTACTTTTTTTCCTTCGTTCGTTGTTCGTTTCACGAATGAAATATTTAAACGTTGTCGTGGTATCTTTTGATTTATCGCGGCCCTCGGTGTAACGACGCGCCCGAGCAAACAGCCAGATAAAAAAGAACATAAATTGCATTAGCCGTTGAATTGAATGTTCGCGACAAACGGGAGACACGATGATGCACACTGCGTCCTCGGTCACAAAAAAGCCCACATACATCCTCCTCTTCTTTAGAGACACGAAACACTTTGTTGCGCTTTTAGTTTATATTTTCGTTAACCGCGCGAATCGCGTCGACTCGTTCGCTCGCGCGCGCGCGCGCGCACGTCGTTGTTATCTGTGAAAATTTCTTCGGCCACGATCCGTTAGTCGGCGAGGCGTCTCTTTATCGTGTTAAATTGCAACACAGATAAATGTAAATGTAGATGGCATAATTAATATGCAAATAGAAGCGTGTAAAAGGCTAGGTATAGTCATCAGACTGTCATTAAAACTATCTTTAGCCTGAGCTAAATATTCCGTAAATTACAACGATGATAGTAGTCGAGGAAGATGTAGAAAAAGGACATGAATTAGTCGAAATGATAAAAATTGTTGAAGAATCTTTAATAATCTAAATTATATTTTCGATGCTCTTGTGGTCTCGTGAAACCAGTTCTTCGTTCTATTTAATACTTTATTCGACCGATGGTTCTAAAAGTAATCATAGAATATCAAGTACACTTGATGCTGATACATCCTTCGACTATGATACCAAAATGGTGCCAATGATTAATAGGAGAAAATCCCATGATCTAGATAATGAAGCTTCGAAATAAGATAAGACAAAACGTTAGGTACCGCCAAAAGTTACTGATATAAATATATCACAAATTACTGATATAAAAGTACTAAAAATACCACAAATTACTGATATAAAATATGTACAATCCTGATGTTGTAAAAATATAAATTCACTTACAATCTCGTACAAAATTTATCGATACTTATCTAGAGTTGCGAATGCTTTCGCGAACGGGCACATTTATTTCGCGGCTGATTCCTTTTGTCAATTAAAACGATCAACGCACAGAGAATACCGCTAGCCAGTATCGTAAAAAGATCGAAGTTATTCGGGCCACGGGTACCACAAAGCAACGATCGCTAATGATGTCGGGTTTCAGCCGGCTCGCTGCTCCCGTCGATCTCTTTCCTCGCGGTTTCATAAATCACTCTCGTAGCCGGCGGACGTATGCAGATCACTGTGTTTTTACGTCGAATAAGTCTCCTTTGTTTACGCCCTGTATCATGAAACATTCCTCGAAGACCGACAATCATTAAACGCATAGATCCGTACGCGTCGATCGAACATCTGTCGTTTTGATGGCGCGACACTCGATCCTGGCGAAACGAACTAATGAATTTTACATCGATCGACTGTGTTACGACGTTTTGCAAAACCGATACCTGTCGCGTGACTCGCGTGTAGGAGTAGGGGTCTGTTTAAACGTGAAATATATCGATCGTTCGTTCGTCAAAATATGTTCAGGGACGCCGGATTCATTCATATGGTATAATGTAACGCGTGGACGGCACACACGTGGAGAACGAAGAGCACGCTTTCGTTGCGATTCCGCGATCATTGAGGAGATGGAACATCTGATTGAAAGATACAGCACGTTTCAAAATTTATTCACCGGTAGTTATCACTTGAAAACCATAGGCGGTATGCACTTTATACTTAACAGTTTGCATATTTTCAAATGTTCAACCCTGAGTATTTAAATAAATATCTGACGGGAACAGATGTATAGATTATACTCTGTTTCTTTTTAAACTTAGATGTTATATAGAAATTATAGAAGAACATTCTATTCATTCCATAATCTTTCATAACCTTCGTGTGTATCGAAATATTCAGGAAGCATGGAGGAAGTTCCTCTGTCTGCACATACAAAAAGTCTTTCAAAGATGATGGTCTGATGGACATGACCCTGAAAATGATACAATCTGAAATACGATAAGTATTTAAATTTGTCTAGTTTGAATATTTACGTGAACGTATGAGGCCTTCTAACGTTGATAAGATAGCAGAAATGGATGGCAAATATAATATTCGGAATTAGAAAAATTACTGGACGTAGTATTTGAGATTCCGAAACACCTTCTATACGACGGTCAGCTGATTTCCTATATTGCCTGAGAGGCTCGTCACTCCGTAGACGGGAAAATGCGTATTTAATTTCAGTATCGAAACTGAGATAACGCTTGCTCCCAGCTCCACGCCTCGTAACGCTTTCTACGTATGCGCTTGCGAAATCCTCCTCTGGTCATTATGTCAGTTTCATAATGTGTGCAAGTGCTCGAAGGCGTATGTGTGTTCTCATCGCGTTCCGTGTTACTTCGATACTTCAATTGTCACTTTGTTTTATTCATTCTTGGAAGAAAACGCATCACTGTCGAGCACAGGTCGCATCTGGTCTTAATGCATTCGTGGCTAGGGAACTACTAATTACATTTTAATACGGTGCTAATTGCATCTTTTCAGATTTAATATCTTTTCTACACCTGAAATTTGGACCAAAAGTTTTGGACCTCGGTGCAATTGTATACATACTTTTCCTGATTTTCATAATCATAATTGATACACGACATATACATAGACCCTTAAAAATTTCTAGCAACTCTCATTCTTTATTTAACCAGATGTATAAAACCTACTTTCTGATTTTACACCCTTTGTAAAAAAGATATTCCTGATGTAATGATAATATTTATCGAGTCATGACATAAATACTGTTCATTGATATTTTATAGTAAAGGAAGGAATAAAATTGTTGACAGATTATCAAATTGTGTGTGATCATCAACTTATCGAAAATTCTGTAATAATTCGGGATCTGTCGTGTCGCGATTAGACACGCCCCGTGTATGTATTCAATCCGATTTCAATAGAAACGCTCGGCAATGCCCGCACGCATTGTAATTCTATAACGTTCGCGTGCTCTGCGGCAGCCCGTTAATACACCTCTGTAATTTAAAAGCAGAACTCCACCGTGGAATATTCGAAGGTGTTTAAAAAAATAGGTCGGCCCCTAAGGCGAAACAGTCATGCCTCGACGAAATCCAGGGCCCTTTTCGTAACGACTAAAGGTGAAAAAGTAATTATAGTTTACCATAGCGCTGTTCGATATCTCGTTTTCTAATATTTGCCGAGAATGGTACAAAGTAAATCCACGGCATCGTAAACAAGACCGATAGCCTTATCGTTGAACCGTCTGATATTTGCACGATTCTCCTATTATTATTACTGTTTCATGCCCCCCTTTCCAACCTGCCTGTTCATTAAAAACGATCTGTAATCGTTCGACGAAGCATCGACGTGTACCATATAATATTTTCACCACAAATTTCGAAACCTCAGATTTTTGTATCGTTTTTCTAAACCTCTCATTGTACTCAGCACAATTTTCTGCACATTAGGTATAAAATCATATAATAACTCATTAATCATTAGTAAAAAACATTGGTAAGAAACATTTCAAGTAACGATCACCATCCAGGCGAAATTTTCTCCGCATACAATGACTCACGTAAAATTCACTTAGTCCACCGACAGACATGAATAATATCAGATCTGGAAATTCCCCCCCGAAGAATCACAGAATCTTCCAATTTCTCACGATTCTTCATCCATCAATGACTGAATGATCGTTGATGGCTGCCGAGGATCGAGGCACCGCGTTCACCCAGGACGATCTAGTAAATGAACGAGGCAAACGTTCTCTGGAATGCCTACATTGTTACACGTTTAATTTATAATCTCGTCCATAATTCTTGTGGCCGCGACGAGTCGCGTGTGTATGCAGGCGCCTGTTAACCTGGCCTTTTTTTTTTTATCCGGTTTGCAGGACAGAGACTGAGGCGGCTGAATAAAAGGAAGGAGATTGAGAGTGGTCCAGAGAACAAGGAGCGAACAGGAGGAGGCGAGATCGACAGTGGAAACAGGTAGAGGAGGGGCATGATAAGCACGGACACACGTGTACCACGAAAATCAGTTGACCTGGTGGACAGTTGTCTGACGTCGGGCGTCCAGGGACAACGTATGTCGGAATGACGCGTCTATCAGGCAATGGCAGGGCAGAGGGTGCAAGGACTTCGTTAAACGGGCGAAAGTGATACACGGTCGTGGTTTGTGTTGGTGGAGTGGTGGAAGAAGGTGACGGGGAGAAACGGAAGAAAGAAGCGTTTCGGGATCGTGGAATTTTCATTGGGTAAGAGAGAGATATTTTTTTATATTTCCATCGACTGTTAGGTGAAATGTTTCGAATAATTCACTTCGAGTATCGTATAATCGCAATATACATATGTACATAAATAAAATGCAATCTTTTTATCGACTTTTCCCGGAACGTAGATAAGAATGGTAATTATAGCTCGAGAGATTTCAGTGTCTTACTTTGAATGGCGAATCAGATTATCTGACAGAGATGACGCGTTTAAATGAAGACTGTGTATGATTCGAATGAACGTTAGGAAATATTGCTTTAGTATGGTGTAATAACGATTGTAAGAATGTCAGTTGAATCGAGATAACTATTTAATTTGATAAAACAGCAGATTGATAGTGGGCGAAGGGAAGATTGAATTTATAACGTGCGGGAATCAGTCCATTTGAGAAAAATGTCCGATAGGCCGTCACGTGTCGGTCGAGCCACGGTCTCACAATAGTCCACGCATTGTTTTCAGAACCGATCACGGTCTCATTGTCTCACCATACTCCGTAAACGGCGGATAACGTCCTCTCGTCGCTATCACGATGTCGTTATTATGAGATCCACGCTAGGCACAAAGTTTCCTTACACTTGACATCGATCGAAATCGTTCGACATCATCGTCATCGCAACAGACACGAACGAAACATTCGAGATCGACATTCTAGAGGACCAAAAAGACGAAAGATCGAAGAACCAGCAGGGCATAATCAGATTCTTAGACAACCGAGCAACAAATTGACTACCAAAGAATTTTATTGGCAGATAATCACAGGAGATCACAAGGTCTGTTTAACAAAGCCACAACGATCGAAGGAAAACCATCTAGTGACAGAAAAGCGACCTCGTTCAGGAAGACATCATTCAATCCAGGCAATTGTGGTCGTTTCAGCGAGAAGTAAATTGCCCGTGGACGTGGTCCAGGCCAAGTGGACGGGGGTAGCGCACCGTGGGTCGATAAAAAGGATAGAGGGGTGCGTGGTGGAACGCGACGAAAGGTGAAGTGAAGGTGTCCTCGTTGGGGTGCCAGAGTGAGCACGATAGCACCTCTGGTGCCCTCGGCCGTGGGTCCCGAGGGGACGGACGCCATGGCGGCCTCTTCGTCCTCGTCGAGCGGCGAGCAACAGTACTCACTCAGGTGGAACGACTTCCACTCGAGCATCCTCAGTTCATTTCGTCATCTGAGGGACGAGGAGGATTTCGTGGATGTGACACTGGCATGCGACAGTAGCAGCTTCACCGCGCACAAGGTCGTCCTCTCCGCGTGCAGTCCGTACTTCCGGAGGCTCCTAAAGGTCAGTGGTTTTTCTTTTTCTTCTTTTACCATCATTCTTTGCGTTCCTCTTGATCTTGAGAATTCAAACGGGTTGGCGGAATACGTACTGATGTCCGTTTCGGGGATAGAACAGATCACTTAACGACTTAACAAACACTTTAACGGTGTTTGACGAGTATGTATAGTACATAGTTGTGACGAAATGACCAGTTTTTAGTAACTAGTATATTCGTCATGTGAAAAATATAGTTATTAAAATTTGAGTAAAAATTGCAAAGTACAGTTCTTCTATTAGAATAAAAGAATCGAATGGTTACACATTTCTGAAATAAAATTGTACCGTTAAAGGGTTAAAAATCTGCCAGGTTTCTTTTGTTGACAGTTCGTTCGCTCTATTCGAGTTTTTACATATCTTCAAATAGTCAGTGTTATCGAACGAAAATAGAGAATTTTAGAAAGACAAATTTATTCGTAATCACGTTCGTTCTCATAATGTAGCCGGTGCAAATGTAAAATTCGGATGCTCACGGAGGTTTGAGGGTAGGAAGACGGTAATTACGATCACGACGGGCGGGAGGAAGAATCGAGAAGGGACTTCCGGCTCGAATTTGCATAATAACGTGCCGTCGATATCGTTCGCCGGCCAACCGGAGTCCTCCACGACCAAAGGACTATCGATCACTTCGAAATGTCGTCGCGATATCGTCAATCGAGGTTCACCTCTTCGAAAAACCAGTTTCCTCGTGTCCCCCCTTGATCGACCACCTCATCGGCGTCATCTAAAAAGAGTCTACCCTCTATAAGTCGTCTTCTTATTATAGATGAAACATTCGACAAAGGTTCAGGGTATTGGAAGCATTGGTAGATTTACCATCAGGTTCCCGTTTCCTCACTTTTATCTTCCATAGTCTTTGCATTGCTGTACTAAGCATAACTATAAAACAACCTTAAAATTTCAGTTCTTATGTATTGTGGTTAAAATAAAAACGAACCATGTATGCCATGTCTGAAATCGTGTGGAGAAATGATGTTTCTCCCGAAAAGGACAGATTATATTCCCTAGAAAAAACTGGTTCGTTCTTATTTCAACCACAATACACATAAGGATTGAAAATTTTAGGGTGTTCAAACCCCTAAAAATTTAAAGGGTTTTAACCACAATATACATAAGGATTGAAAATTTCAGCTACAATCCATACAAAACCTGGACATTACATTCCTTTCATTCAATAGTGCACAACATTCAGTGTCTTCCACATCATTCGATTAATTTCTATTACACCTTGAACACAAAGCAGGGTATCTATTGTTACCAATATGGCCGTGTGACTTTCCAACGGATCTTGTTTTCTTTTTTTTTTTCGCTAGTTGTTTCCGCCGAACACTGCTCGAACGATACAGTGACGATTGTTCCCTGGTCGAGTCTGGCCAAAGAAATCGAGTCGTTGGAAGAGGCGACCGACTTTCTAATTGACGCGTACCGCTAATTGATTTTAAGTGTCGACGGTGCTCGGAGCTGACGCCGGATGATATTCCCCTTCCCGTTGGCTTGCGTCACGACGTCATGTAGTAGACGTACATATGCGCGAGGACGTCGGTGCTCGCCGCTACGGGTCGTTTAAATATAAGTCACGCGGGCGACGTAATAAAAAGCAGCGTGCATTGCGTCGACCACACTGAGAAGGTGGAGCCTTTTGTGCTCATTAATATCCCCCGGCTATTGTACTTTCACCGGGCGTCCTAGCGACGCTCGGAAACGTTTGTTTAATGCCTGTAGACGTCGCCGTGGCACCCGTTATTATTACACTGTTCCCCGCGCATTCGTCGGTCGCATTAAACGACCCGGGGAGAAAACATGAAATTACAACCGTTGCTGCCGCAATTGGCGAGGATTAATGCGCGCGGACGTCATATAGGTGGCCCTGTATGCTGCGCATTTTTCCGTGGATATCGGGCCATTTCACGGGGGTCGTTCTGCATATTTCGTCGGAACATTATGAAATATGCTCGTGTAAAATTGTGTTCTGGAAAGAGCGTTACTGTTTCGACGACAGTTTCAATGATCGATCATATGGGATTTGGAATGAAAACAGTGATAAAACACCTTGTTAGCTGTTTTTGGGCTCTGGACTATTAACGGGACAGGTAGAGATTCCACGAATTAACTTTCGATTTATCGTTAACTCCATGGTAAGGTATGGGTTATATTTGATATATAGTGAGTTATATTTCTTCTTGTGCTGTCCCCACTCTATTTTTTATTATTTTATTATTATTCTCGTTTTAAAATATTTATTATCATTTAGTACATTTTTAATACACCCAATTCTGTTTTTATACCAATTAATTCAGTTATTATTCTTTATTATATAAATGAACAAAAATACAAGTTCAAGATACTTTTTTTTACCTGTCTGAAAATAGCAGAAAAGAGCTCGAGTCGAATCCGACCCCACCTTATCAAGTACGACCTTAAAATCCACCTTACCAATCGAGGTTTAATTTTAGAATTACTGACGAGGAACGTATTATTTATTTCTAGCGGATCGATAAACATGACGAACTTCTGAAAATATTCCAATTTATAATTCAACTAATTTTTTCGTTTTCACAATGGAACAAAAGTTGTGAAAGATCCGAGAAAATTCATTTTGAATGCTTTGGTAGTCGTGTAGTGTGAATTGAAGTTCAGTAAAGTATACATACATTTACGTAAAAGGCTTCTCCAATTAGACACATTAACATATTAACACTGGACTAGTTCTTAACGATAGAAATAAGTCGTGTGATCCAGTACACTGCATGTTTTCATGAGTGCGTTCGTTCGAATAACAAAAAAGAGTGAAAAAAACACCCGAAAGCTTATGAAACTGGCCGATATTTTCGCGTGTTCGATATCAAACGCGCGTGACGCAACGATAACGAGTCTGCCTGGAACACCTGACAGCGGTGCCGCGCTTTGATTTATGCGTTAGTGCACCACCGGTGCTACGATTTACGACAGCCCCCCGTTCATTTGACTATCGGCCGGGAGTCGATGACGAATCACTGAGTTATCGACTACGTCCGCAACGATATTTGCCGAAATACGATCCCCGGAGACCTGTACCACACCTACCGTCCGATAATATATTTCCCCCTGCCCTGGAATCGGTAATAAATCGACCAAACGCGAGCAATAGCCTGTCGTGGTCGCCGCGAAATCCGCGAGAAAAATCGAAATCCGTCGAAACCGAGCGATATGCACTTACGTTACTTCCAGTTTCTGTTATTTCCGCGTTGAATCCTTTTCTGTCCATTTGGATTACGGTATCATGGATTTAAGCCTCGAGAGCATGGTTCCCGCTTCTGGTGATCGATATTCAGCGGTAAGGGTTACTGAAACGTGTGGGAGCGTACAGTCTTGGGCAGAGTTGGGCAAAATGTAATCTAATTACAAAATTCAAATCACAATTACAATGCAATTGCAACGTAATTGCAAGAGAATTACAATTACATTGTAATTAATTATACTAAATTTACAATAAGAATTACATTGTAATTGCAATTGTAATTTCTCCGCAATTACATTGTAATACACCAGGTAGACAAATCCTTCGTAGATTGTAAAATTGTACCAGATGTTCTACATACAGACTGGTACATACAACCCGATAAAATGTGATTCTACATGGAAAAATAAGTCGAAAATGTAGAATAAAATTTTTCGAATTTGAATATTTACTGAACATTCGTGCAATTGAACAGGACATTGCTAACGCGTCTGTTCATCACGGCCCGTTTCTACTTATTGTCTACATAGCGATAATAAGCAGAAACAGAATGCAACGAACAGACGCGTTAGCAAAATTCTATTAAATCTTTCTTTTCTTCAATCTTCACTCTGAAAAACTAAGCATCGTACGAAAAAATGTTATTATAAATTATCGACTAATCTTTCCATGAAAAATCACATCCTATCAGATTGTATCACTGTTTCGGAAACACCCTGTATAATGCGATACAATATAGTATGCAGTGTATAATAATTGAGTTAGCATATATCCCAACGAAAAAAAGTCTTCACGATGTCAGTAATTGTAAAACAAGAAATCTGAATAAGGTAATTCTAGCGTTAACACTGTCCAATGTCCTCTTCGAGGCATTCGTATAGAAATCGTAGGTATATACCATACTTCTCCACGCCGACGAACGTGTCTGTCTCCTCTGTGTTCACCGTTCTCCGTTATTCTATTTTAGCTTCTCATTTCGAGCTCCAATCCCCGCGGCGAACACGCGCGCGCGTTGTCCTACCACATTGCCTCCTCATTGTAATTTACGCCACGGCGATATTGCTTTACCGACGTCGAAATAACACTGTCGTCGCTACGCATTCATGTCTCTCTCTCTCTCTTTCTGTCCTCCCTTCCCAGGCGTCGTCTTATTATTTTCGACGCGTGGGCCAGCGCGCCACCGATTCTACGGTTAATATAGCCGACTGCTCGCGGACCGTGTGATTCCATGAAGACGATAACGAGCCCGAAACCTCTTACCCGCGGCGAGTCCAAGTGTGCGTGTAACCAACCCTACCGCGAGACAGTTTAAATATTTATCGCGAGTCGTAAAGTATATACTCGTCACGGCGTAACACACCGTCTGTATCGTTCGTCATCGTGTCGTCCCCTGAAGATTCGCGTTCTCTCTTGTGTGTGTGTGTCTGTGTGTGTGTGTCGGTCAATGAAAATTCCCGAAACACTTTGTTGAACGGGTCGTGCAGACACGCAATCTTCTTCCCATTCTACGAAATCGCGCGCGCTGGCTCACTCGATCTTTCTCTCGCGAATTTATTGGATTAACGCATAGCGAAAAGCTACAGTATGCAAGAGCAAATAATTGTTTAGCAAATGTCGGCTCGTTCAAGATGAAGTCTTATTCTATTATAAAAATTGGAATTCCTACGTTTGAACGATTACGAATGAAGTACTTTATTTCAACTTTTTTATTCTTTATTCGAAACTCTTCACCTAGGTAATTAATTTT